TATATTGTTTGTGAGAGAAAAAACATATATATTTTTCTCACAGATATATTGTTATATATATATATATATATATATATATATATATATATCATGGTACATATATTTGGGAAATGTGAATATATTAATCTTAAATATTTAGTGGTTCTACTACTAATAATTAATTTCATTAGATATAAAACTATGACAGTTCGTTACAAAATTAGTAATTAGTTTAAAATAACTACATGCTAGTTAACATGTTTAATGTTAGTGATGGATTAAATTTTTTTAAAAAAATACTATAATGTTTACATTTATTTAAAAAATTATTTTATTTTTCCATGATATTTTCTCATTTTTTTAATATAAGATTAAAATTTGTTGATAGCGGTAGATGCTAAAGTCAAACTCTTCTTATTAACAGTTTTTTTTTCATGCATATAAATCAATAATTGACCAACTCAATATTACACGCTTAATTGATTCGATCCTCTTCTACTCAATGGGATACTAAATTTTTATTATGAAAGAAAGGCCAGAGATAAACAGATATTTTTAATGAATAATGAGATATGCAAATACATGACTATATATTTTAAGTAATATTAAAAGGAACGTGGTTGTTTAGTTATTCGATTTAATAAAATTCTTTAATATCACAAAATCAGGTCATATCTGCCATGAAATACTTGCATGACAAAGTTTATTCCACGAATCCGATTGACATTGTGTAATATCGTTGATACAAAACTAAAAGAAATAAACATGATAAGACAACGAATTAAAGTTCGATAAGATTTGTCTGAATATTGTTTTCATTTTTTGTGTTTGAAAAGAATATTAATGATCAGCCAGATAGAGTTGAGTTTTAAACAAATATGTTGTGTGAATTGTGATACATACATTATATTGATATTTTATGATCTTTTTTATTGTAATAAATACAATGGTGACAATGAAGTTTAAACCTTAAATCTTCATGCTAACTCTTCATCCCCACTAGGCTGTTTCTAACTGGTTCGCCAGTTTTTGTGTTGAAAATAAGCAATTAACTTAAAATATAATAATAAAAAATGAATATAGATTATTTTTTATAAATAATGTATTTTCTATTTAAATTAGATTGGACTACTATAAGAAATAAGTAATTAATTAAAATGAAAAAATAGATATTGAATGATTTTATTTATTTATAAATTGTAGATACTTTTTTTTAGTGACAAATTGATTTGTTTGAGTTAGACAATATCACCATCATTATCACTGTGAATAATAATTTTTTTAAAAAAATATTAATAAAATTGTATAATGTTTGAATCTAAGATCATTACATTAGGATAACTTCACGTCTGTCGATATATGTGTTAAGTGATTTTAATTAGAAAAGTTTATGATTCCAAAGTTAGAAGAAGAAAAAAATCAAAATAAAAGAGAAAAAAATTATGTGAAGTGGTATGTTGTGATGAGAAGAAAGAAATTGGAAGAAATGAAAAGCGTAAAAATGTTTTTTACTCTGTTGGGATTTTTGAAAAATGTTACTCAAATAAAACTTATGACAAGTGGCAACTTGTCGGTTTGGTAAAAAAAAAATCCTCAAAATTAAGGGTTTGGTTTTATTTCATAGAAAGAACAATAGAATATTAGAATGTAGCTGGTGAACCCGTGAAAGTTAAGATTTAGGTTGGCTTCCTTAGCTTTTAAGTACTTTGTTCATTGTTACGGAAGAGAGAAAAAGTAATTCTCTTTTTAATAAGCAAGAGACCAAAAAGTAAGAAAAATGTATTTGTAGGTAGGGTCTATATATTTGTTTGAAGGCTTGTAGGGGTGGTATTAACTATTTGATGTTATGTGTTTTATACAATTTTTATTTATAAGGGGAGTCGTACTTCTTGAGATTAAAAAAGAAACTTAGAAGCTTTTAAAATCAAAGTTGATTTTTATTAAGAGAATCAAATTTAATTAGTTGAAAATTATATATGTTTAAGTAATTCTTTAGACCATAGTTAAAAAAAATTAAATAAGTTGAACTTAATTTTGTAAATCAATTTAAAAAAAAAAAAACTATCTTCTAACTTTTAATTTAACTAATTTTATTTGTAATTCATATTCAACAAAACGAAAATAAAGTTTAATAAATATATAACCATTATATTTGAGATTGTTTTGATAAATATATAAACACCATATTTGAGATTGACTAATTACAAATTTCAAACATATAACCAAATTGTTATAAGTTATAATTTCTTGTCCTAATTTATGTTTTACTAATTAAAAAATTATATTTATTGTACGTTTGAATCTCTTTAATTAAGTATAAGGAGGACTTTCATTCCTTCGGATTACTTCATTTCTTGTTGCAACAGAAAACAGAAAACTTGAATTTTAGTATAACTATGTGAAAAAAAAAAAGAAGAAGAATTTATACTATTAAATAAACACTATATGTTATTTTGATGTATGTATTTTATTAACTTTTTTATATACACATTCTGTTAATTATTTTATCTCTTAAATTTCAAAACACTTTTTTTTCCTCATACTTATTTTATTTAGTTTTTTTTTCTACTTCTTTATATTTTTCAAAAATTTTACACCCTCTAAAAAATTACTCAAAAAATACTCATATTCTAATTATTAATAACTCGCATATATTTAATTTTAATTATTTTATCATTTATTTTATTCTTATTTAAAAAAAATGAAACCATGAAGTAATTATTTACGTCTATAATAAATTATAATATCTACACTATTATTAATAAGGAAGATATGTGTTTCTATATACATATTTTATTAATCATTTTTCACATTAATTTTCAAAACACTTTTGTTTTCTCCTACTTATTTTATTTAGTTTTTTTCCTCCACTTCTTTGTAAGTTTATTTTTCAAACTTTTTACACCCTCTAATTCTTTAAAAAAATTATTCGAATATATTCACACTTCTATTTATTAACAACTCATATATATATATATATATATATATGTGTGTGTGTGTATATATATATATATATAGAGAGAGAGAGATATTGTATAATAGAGTTTTATTTTTAAAACAAAATACGCATAACAAAAATACACAGAAATTTGGGTTGAGTTTGATGAATTGTTTATATTAATGTATTCGAAAACAAAAATATTTTCATCTAATCCCAATTTGCTATAACACAAAATTAAATATATTTTTAGTCTTTCAATAAGTTTGAATTCATGAACCTTTACATTTTTTTATTTTTAATTTTTAATTTTTTTCTTCTAATAACATTTTTATCCCTGACAAAAAAATGTTCGTGGAAAAAAACTTTATTGAAAAAATCAAATAAAATTTATTTAAAAACTAAAAATAAAAATTAACAATAGATATTTAAGAATTAAAAATATATTTTATCCTATTACACGGTATATTTGGTTTTCTTTGTCTTTTCACCGGAGTACATTTAAATAGAGATGAAAATTAAATTACTGATACGTTTTTATATAACAACTTCTTTTTAAGACAATGACTTCGTTAATTGAGTAGTTTAAACCATGATTAAATAAGTTTGGTCCGAATAAATAGTGTGCTATTTTTATTCTAGTCCGAATAAAATTTTAAAAATATCACTGATTCTTACGATTTCTTTCCAGTTAACTTTAGTATTGATGAAAAAGATTCTAGAAAATTATGATTATTTTTTATTTTAATCTCTACATTTTTAGAGATTATATTAAAATAAATATAATTTTATAAAAATTAAAAGTGATAAAAAAAATTATTAACGACAAAGCCATAAATATAGAATTAAAAATGTTTATAAAATTTATAAGTATTAGAATTTACAATGACAAGGACTAGGGGTGGACAAAACGAACTGAACTGAACTTATAAAAACTATACTGAACTTAAAAATAGTTCACATGAACTGAACTAAACTAAACATTAGTTCAGACGAACTGAACTGAACTATTCTTTTGTGTCATTGAACTGAACTGAACTGAACTATATTATAAAAACTTGAACTGAACTACAATTTAAACTGTACTAAACTATTATTATATTTTGAATTGAACAATTTTGACTCATTGATCTATCAAAATAGGACACATTTGCCAACTTTACTTTATTTTCCATTTTATTTAAATTTTTCAAAGGAAAAAAATATAAAATTAAGTCAAACAAACTCAGTGAATTTTAAGCTTAAAAATAAGTAGTTCAACATAGTTCAATTGATCCGTTAAGTTCGACAAAATTGATACAATTTTTTTCAGATAATTTTTTTTAAGTTTTGATTATTAGACTATCGAGCTAATCTATTAAGACATAACATGTTAAACACATTTAATTTTTATTCTTTTATAAAAATAGTTCAATTTTTATAATTCAGTTCAGTTTTTATAGTTCAGTACAGTTTAACTTTACAACAGTTCAGTTCAGTTCAGTTTTTTTTAAAACAGTTTAGTTCAGTTTTTTTACAAACAGTTCAGTTTTTTATAGTACAGTTCACCACCAGTTCACTCCAGTTCAGTTTAGTTTTTTTTGCCCACCCCTAACAAGGACAGAGTATTTTAGCAGTCAAAGACATATGGAACCCTTAAAAATAGAATCCTTATCCTCTAAAAAAAAAAAGAATTTTAATCGAAGGAGAGTGAGGTTGTGGGCCATTTGATACGGAATGATATTATAAAATTACGTAGGAATTAGTTGTAGTTTGATTTTGGTTGACTTACTTGTTGAAGGAGAAGAAGAGAAGAGGGTGAAAGCGTGAGTGATATACATGGAATTGATTTATGAATTGGAAGGATGTGAATCCCGGAATTAATGGTAATGGTGCCTCTGCCTAGTGCCTACACATATTCGGGCGATGTTGACAAAGAATCTATCCGGTTGATAGAATCACGTTACAGGTAAATAAAGGGCCATTACAAAATAAGTAAAAAAAAAATAAAAATGAAAGAAGGTTGGCAGGGCAGGGAAAAGACGCGGTGCGGCGCGGATGGAGGCTTACCGTGGGCAAGCGACTTGTGTTGCAGCGTCGGAGGGAACCAAGGGTCCATGATGGGCCATGAGGAGGGAGTTGTAGATCTGGATGATCATCTTGTCGTCGTACTCCTTGGGTGGGGCCCGGGTGAAGGCAGCGAAGGAGGTGTCGGCGGCTGAGAGGGCACCGCCGAAGGCCGAAGCTGAGGAGGCAGTGACCGTCATGACGCGGGAGTTGGCGAGGCCCAGCATCATCCTGACGTAGGCGTCACGCACCCATAACAGGGCCTTCTTTGGGGAGGGGATTTTTCTGATTCGGATCTTGGGTGCGAGCCTGATCCTCCACCTCCAGAAGCGGGCCTTACCGGTTCGGGCGCTTCCGAGCTCCACCCGGTTCCTCCTTCTCCGGGTGGGCCCGTTAAGCCTCTCGTAGCCTCTTCTCCTCCAGTACTTTTTTACACCCCTGCAGACAGTGGCGGTGATGCCCTCCATGGTGGTTGGGCCTGAGAGATGAAATGAAATGGGGTAGGGGTGGGTGAGAAGGGGTTTAATTAAGTTAGGCGCATCGCATGCAGACGAAATTAGAAATCACACATGGGCATGGAAGCCACCTGCTATCTACACTCTTATTCTTATTTAATTATAATACTATGCTTACTATATATTAATATTGTCATAGAAAATATATGCATAGGAGGTGAGGCACTGCTGGTGCATTTAATGCGACAGCCTACTCTGGTAGCTGCGTTTAACATGCACCTCACTCTCCCTAATTAATATACTTCGTTGCACGTCCCAAGGTTTCCAATTCTTTTTCTACCAATTTTGCCCCTTCTCCCTTCTATGTACGAGTTTGGTTTAGTGTTTTATATATACGTTGTAACAAATTTTCACGTTCAAATCTCGTATTTATACAAAAAAAAATAAAAAAATAAGGAGTTACTTCTACTATACATAAAGAATCACGTTACAAAATTCAAAAAAAAAAATATATTAAATCTAATTATTCAATAATTTCATTTTATAAATTATTAGAATTCGATTCTTTAGTGATAATAACTATAATTCTTAACGTAGAAGTAATAAATAATAAAATTTATATAGTAATAGATAATTATTAAAAATATATGCGATTAAATTGTGTGTTTTGGTGATTTGGGATATGTCTCAAAATTTTGTATTTTTTGTTGTGTGTTTTTGATACATTGTTGAATGCTACTTAGGGCATGTTGAACGTCATCAGGATTGAGAGCAAAGTTTGTTCTCGGGATTTATCACGTTGAGTGTGGAATGACCTTTTTCAGGCATAAAAACTCTAGGGTTTCCTTGTGATTAGGGATGACAATGGGGTCTCATGGGGGCGGGTAATAGTAAACCCGTCCCCCACCCTGCGAGATGAAAATTGGTCTCATACCCATCCCATATCTGTGCAGGTATCCATGAATTTCTTGAATACCCACGGATATCCATGAATATTTATAAATTTTTTAAGAAATTAAAAAAATTATATTAGAAATAATTTTAAGTTTATATTTAATGTCATTGAAATATTAAAAATAAAAATTCAATGTTAATTTTGAACTTGTATTTAATGTTAAATTTGTTGAAATAATAATAAAAATGCAAGATAATCAATAACTTAAAATACATCAATCTCACAAGTAAAAGTGTCATATCAGAAAGTTACAATAATTCAATCTCATAATTCCAAGCGAAAGTAAACAACTTAAAATACATAAATCTTATTGTGATGACCAATGTATGGGCTGTGCGGCTATGAAAAGAAAATAAGATGAGAGAGTGTAGTTTTAGGGTTATGTGGTACAAGGATAATTAGGATATTTAAGAAATATTATTAAACGGGTACCCGCAGGTATGGATATCATCATACCCGCCCCGCCCCGTTTATAAATGGGTAAAAAATTATCCGTCCCCATTATCCGCGGGTACCCAATTAGCCTATCCATTTATTATCCGTAGCGGATTTTACCCACAGATACCCGCGTGTGCAGATATTTTTGTCATCCCTACTTGTGATGCTTTACTTCCATCGAGCGTGAGCTGACTCTCGCTGGACATGGACATTCTAGAGAGCTTTTGGTGGTGTTCTCGTTGAGCATAAACTCGGTCACGTTGGGCACAATTTAGACAAAGGCTACTGTGGTCCTTTGGAGGACTCGTGTTGGGCATGGGGCGTGTGCCGCTAAGTGTCATTCTACTTGCAATTCTTATATTGTTCTACTATTTGATCCTATGTTGCAACTCTTGTAATGTGATGTTAATGTAATATGAATTGACATTGAGATATGAACATATGACTATGTATGAGAAGTAATGTGATATGAGGAAAATGTTAAATGTAAAACTATGAGGTCGTGTGAATATAATGCATTGAGTTTGATTGACATGCATCATATGCATAAAAATATTTTTGAAAGGGTACAATATGGAATATACCGCTAGTGAAGGTCCTTTTTGTAAAAGCTTGGGAACCAATCTTAGGGATAACTCAATTTGGAAGTCTCAATCCTACCCTCATGAGCATGAAATATATCTTGTGTGAATTAACTATCTTAACCAAACCCTAGTAGTATGTCCTTCTAGTGATTGTAAAGTGAATGTAATGCATTGAATTTGATTGACATGCATCATATGTATAAAAATATTTTTAAAAGGATACGATATAAAATACACTATTAGGGAAGGTCCCTTGTGTAAAAGCTTGGGAACCAACCTTAGGATAACTTGGTTTGGAAGTCCTAGTCATATCCTCATGAGCATGTGATGTATCTTGTATGACTTAACTATCTTGACTAGACCTTGGTAACATGTCCTTCTAGTGAGAGTGTACAAAGAGTGTGATCTGACATGTATTCCTAAACCACTCTAGTGTGTTGCTAGTGGCAATGCACAAGTGATGTTTTACTGACGTCACATGCATGATAACATGTAGCCTGTATCCATTGCATATGCATTATGATCTTATTTGTTGTTGCTTATTATGCTATGAATGAGTTAAACATGATGAGGTGTAACAAGATATGTTAGATCTTATTACATGTGTTGTTTCTGTTTGGCTAGTCGTTTTGCATTCCTGCATCGTGAGTCAAAGTGAGATGTTTCTCACTCCCTTTTCTTTTGTATTGTTTTCTTGTGGCTGTTACAAGTAATCATGAATATGATGCTAAGGATATTAATGATGAGGCCTAGACCTCAATGTTGAGTTTTGCTCTGATAGAACACATGACACCAAGGAATTAATTATAATTAATTAAGATTTGATTCATGCTATTTAATTTGAGTAGTTTGATTTTTATTTTCATTGTAATTTATTATTTATGTTAAATCTAATTTATGTTAAAATATGATTATTTCTATTTGTTTAAGTTTTGAATTTGAGGCTATTCAATTATTTAATATATTATATATTATGATATGTGGTATAGAAGGTGTCACATGTAAAATTATAAAAATTAAATTTATTTAATAATTTTTTTAAAATGTATAAAAATAATTATATGTGCTTATATATAAGCTCCATATATAAGTTGAAATAATAATTAAGGTGATTGTGAGTTTTTCCAAACAAAAGTTTAGAAGTATTTTTTTTATTAGCCAAATGTTAGTAATCAGTTGTATGTTAGTGAGAGGATCTAAATTTATTTAATTTTATGACTTTAGTCTTATGTCTTTTTTTCCAAAATATCAAACTACCTTATAACTTTAAAAATATTTTTAAAAGTTTTTCTATTAAAAGAGAAGAACTCTCATAAAAGCATATAAACTTATATCTACATGGAATTTTTTTTGAAAAATATATTAAGATCTAAATAACAAATTAAATTATTAAAATATTAAATAAAGTTTGATTTTTATATAATATGCTAGTTTATTATTAAATTTTATGGAATAATTTTCTATTAAATATTTTGACTTGTATTTTAGTATTAAATAATTTGAAGCGTTAAAAAAAATAAACAACATCGCAACAAATGCTTGTGTTAAACAAAATTTTCAACTAATAAAAAATTCCTTCCATTAGAATTACAATATTCCCACATATTAAAATTTGGGTGGTAAGTTCATGGTACGAGTAAAATTGTAATTTTGTTTAACAAATATGTGAACAGAAAATTTTCACAGATTAAATTGAATGAGAAAAAGTGTAATTAAGTTTTTTTTATTAATTTATTTTTTATTTATGAGGCTTGAAGATGGTATTATTTGGGGCTTGTTTTTAATCAATTTTGTCATCATTAGTTTTTAGGATTGATTTAAAGTAATTAAAAATGAAAATCATACAACGACATATTGAATGGATCAACTTGGTGAAAGCTTGTTCACGAGTGTATAATTCTATTAATTATTAAGAGAGAGAATTGTGTAGTTTATAATAATTATCTCTGGTTTGTTTTCTGTAATTTTTTTTTTAATAAAACATACATGTGATTTTTACCAATTTTTTAAAAATATTTTATATAATAAAATTTATTTATAAATATAATTTTATTATACCAATAAAAAATAATTGTTAATTACTTGAAATGAGATTTAGAGACCGACATTAATAAAAGAAAAGTTAATTGGCTCTGAGGGACATGGTGGGGTTTTTTCATGCCCGTAGATCGTAGTTTTGGGCATTTTGGGCCCTCTTTAACACAAAATTAATAAAATGATAAATGATAATGACATATTGTTCTAAAACTCCTCGATCTACCTTCTTCAAGAAAAATAAATCATGCTTTTGTTTTGTTACGGTAAGATAAGAACAGTGTGATTCCAGAATGGACCACCAGAGCGAGGTGGGGTAGCATTAAAGTTTAATTTGACTTCTAACAACAAAAGAGTATTAACTAAGAGATAATTGTCGCCTGCAATATTGGTAACGACAGTAATTAATTAAAAACTTTAATTTATCAAGAAAAAGCGTATGAATAATTTTTATTTATATTATTTCAACAAATTTTCATTAAAAATAATTAATATTTGACGTATAAATCGATGATTTACAAATTTATTTTATGCTTAGCTAGTTAGCTCTAACTTTTTTTATTTGAAATAATTGGGGGAATAAGAGATAAACTGTTCACCGTTGAGAGAAATTCTATGGTACCTATCTTATTTGAGAAGGTACCAGTACAGTTTTTTATATTTTATATTTTTAATAATTTATTTAAATAATATTTATAATATTTTATTCTTTCAATTTTTAAATCATTTAGTTATTTTATTTTTATTTTATATATTTTAATTTATTTGTAATAATATTATTATACATTTAAATAGTTTAATTTTAATAATTTTAATAATTTTTTAATTATATTTTTATCTTTTCACTTAAATTTTTTGAATTTCTATATTTTAATTTTAATAATTTTTTAAGTATATTTTTTGTCTATTTGTCTTAAATTTTTGAATTTCTATATTATAATTTTAATAACTTTTTATTTTTACTATTTTTTATTTTTAATGTTTTATAATATTATTGAAATCTTATAATTTTAATTTCTATAATTTTATCTTACTTTTTATTTTATAAGTATAATTTAAATTATTCATTTTATAATTAATTTTTTTAAAATCTTTTATGAGTTTATAAAAATGTATTGAAACCCTCGATCTTTGAGGGTACCGAAGCAACTCCCTTAATTTAATCGTATTTAAAATTTAAGATATAATACGTGGCAGTTGGTATTACAGAAAGGTTGATGAGACGAG